GGAAATACAAGGAAACTAAATGGACCTAATTTGATAGAGTAGGTAAAATCTTTACATTCTTAGGATACTGACTTAAGAAGACCTCAGAAACACAAAGCTCTTTTTAAAAAGAAAAATTTATTGGAGTAGAGTTGCTTTACAACGTTGTATTAGTTTCCACTCTACAGCAACATGAATCAACTCTGCATGCGCATTTATCGCCTCTGGATTTCCTTCCCATTAAGGCCACCACGGAGCGTTGAGTTTCCTGTGCTACACAGTAAGTTCTCATTGGCCATTCATTTCATTCATCGCGCGTGCATGCTCAGTCGGGCCTGCCTCTTTGCCATCCCACTAGGCTCCTCAGTCCATGGGAGTTTCCAGGCAAGAATATTGGAGTGGGCTGTCATTTCTTCCTCCTGGGCACCTTTCCAAACCAGGGACAGAATCCGTGTCTTCTTGGGTCTCTTGCATTGCAGACAGATTCCTTACTGCTTGAGCCATCACGGAAGCCCCCTCTTTATTCATCAGTGTATACATAGTGTGCATAGGTCAATCCCAATCTCCCAGTTCATCCCAGTACCCCACTCCCCACTTGTTGTCTGTACGTTTGTTCTCTATGTCTGTGTCTCTATTTCTGCTTTGCAAATAAGTTCATTTGTACCATTGTTCTAGATTCCACATATATATATGTTAATATATGATATCTATTTTTCTCTTTCTGACTTACTTCACTCTTTATGGCAGCTTCTAGGTCAATAAAGACTGTCTTGATGACGACATCTCTGCAAATGGCACAATTTCATTTCTTTCTATGGCTGAGTAATATTACATTAAATATGTGCCATGTCTTCTTTATCCATTGATCTGTAGATGGACATATAGGTTACTTCCATGTCCTGGCTATTGAACTAGCAATTGGTACAGGTATTATTTTCAGAACTGGACAGTCTTAACCTAACCCCATTCTTTGCATTCCCCTTCTGTTCTAAGGTAAGGAATTCACATTATTTCTTTAAGGAATATAAATTAATGAAACTCTCCATGATAAATAAATCAGGAAAACACATTTATCCCAAATTCAAAAAAATATTTATTTATTATCTATTTTTGACTGCATCAGTTCTTAATTGTGGCTCAGGAGCTCAGTAATTGTGACTTAATTGCCCTGCAGCATGTGGGATCTTAGTTTCCTGCTATGTACCCTGTATTAGAAGGTGGATTCTTAACCACTGGACTACCAGGGAATTCCCTACTCCACCTCATTCTAAACAGCACATAAAGAAGTCACATAAATGTGGTATAAGTAAAGTAAAGGCTATTCTTACTGTGAATATGGTGTAAACCTTAAATAAAATATTAGCAAACAGAATAGAAAAATATATTAAATAATAAGATATCATGACCAAATGGTCATATTTCAGCAATACAAAGATGGCTCAATATCAGTGAATCTATTACATAACTCATAATATCAATTAAACTATGGAGAAAAAAATTATGCAATCATCTCAAAATGTGCTGACATTTAATAAAGTCCAACATCCATTCATGATTTAAGATACTTTAAAAAATAGGACTAGATGGCTATTTTCTCAATATGAATAAATATATCTGTGTCAACCCAGAAGCCAGCACCATGCTTAAATGGGAAAACATTTAATGAGATGAATTCTCATTAAAGTTAAGAATATGGAAACCATATCACTGCCTTAATACTGTTCTGGAGATTGTGGAAACCAAAGAAATGAAGAAACAACATAAGTTAGTGGTACATAATATAAAAGAAGCAAAATTATCATCTGTAGAGTTATAATTGTATATTTTGGTAGGACCCAGAAGAAGTCATTAAAAAGCATTTTTAAGTAAAGAGAATTCAGTAAAAATGGATGGGTGGAAAATTACTATATAGAAATCAATAACTTTCATATACTCACTAGTAGGAAGATAAAATGGAAACTATCTTATTTATAATAGCAACAAAAATGAACATATCTAGTAATAAACAACAATAAATATGTAAGATCTATATGATGTAAAGTTTAGAATATTCCAGAGGGTCATAAAAAAAGGTATGAGCAAATGGAAAGACAATTCATATCATAAGGTTGTAACTAGATTCCCAGTTAGTTTGTAAACTTAATTCCATACAAGTATTCTTCAGGATTTTTTGGGTACATAGACAAGCTATCGCTAAGTCCATACAGAATATCAAACAAGCAAGGAGAGCCAGGAAAGTTTTGAACAAGAAGATCAGTAACAGAATTCTCTTCCTACCAGATGGCAAAATATAGAAAATTTAAAATATGTAAATATATAAAGGAAAATAATTAAAACAGTGTGGTACTGATATATAACAGACAACTCAAGAGAAGGTAATAGATGGTGTGGAAATCAGTCCAAGTACAGGAATCTGATATATGATAAAGATGTTATCTCACATAAGAGAGGAAAAGATGAGTTATTCGCTAAACTATGTTAGGGTAACCAAAGAGACATATTAAAAAAAGAAGGGTGGATTCATAGCTCACATTTATACTAGGGTAATTTCTTCATGTGAACATATAAATGTAAAAAACTTAAAACAAACAAGATAAAAAAAAAACTAAAAAGATTCTTCTATAAACTTAGAAAAATATTCTTTCTGAATCATTATAAACATAAAGTTCAAAAGTGATAAAGTGGAAAATTGCTACAACTACTATATAAAATTAAAACTTCATGTGACAAAAATCACCATAAACAAAGTTTAAACACAAACAAGAAACTAGATAAAGCATTTGTAATTTATATCACAAGAAAAAAGCTAAATGTCCCTTTTCATAAAGCTCCTACATAATATCAAGAAAAATACCAACAACCCAACAGAAAAAAAGATAAAGAAACAACAATTCACAGGAAAAGAAATACAAATGATTCTTTATTACATGAAAAGACGCTCTGTCTATTGCCAGTCAGGTTAGTAAAGATTTTTTTTAAAGTTGGGTAACACACTGGTTAGTGCAAGTGCAGAAATAGCATTCTCATTCTCTGCCACTGGAAGGGTGGACCAGCCCCATTTTGGTGGAGGACAATTTGTCAATATCTATCAAAATTCTCAATTCACATGTGCTTTGTTCTAGCATTTCCATTCCTAGAAATTTGTCCGACAGGTAAACTTGCACATATGTCAAATGGCCCAAGTTCTTCATTATCATAGCACTGTTTGCAATGGCAAAAGATTTGAATTGCTTAAACTTTCCACCATAGGGGACTGGCTACATCAATTATGGTATTGAACACATCAACACAATGGAATATCATGCAAGCATAAAATGAAGGAGAAAGTTCTTTATGTACCAGTAAAGACTGACCTCCAAAATAAAATTAAACGTTCAAAAACAGTGTGTATAATACAGTAGCATGCTATTAATTCTGGAAAAAGAAAGAATGTGATATATAAATTTGTTCATTTATTCATAAATTCTGTCTGGAAGAATGCCCAAGAACCTGATAACAGTATCCGTCATCAGGGATAGGACCTGGATGACTTAGGGACAGAGAAAGAAGATAGGACTATTCATTTTATGCCTTTTGTACCCTTTTATTTTGAGTCATGTGAATGTATTATCAAAAAATGCACAACGCATTAAAGTTTACAATGTAATAAAAAGGGCATAGTTACATTCCAGTCTGTTCATGTTTATCCTGAATTTGCTGAAAATAAAGTCTATTGTTAATCAATACAGCCTTTTTTTTTTTTAGGTAAGAGACTCTTTACTTAATCTGGTTTTAGAATAGATCAAAATCAAGTCCCTGATTTACATAGTTTTTTGATTAAAGTGCCAAAAGAGAAATAATTTTGGCTTGAAAACTGAAGTTCCAAGATAAAAGTTAAATTTTTTAAGTTTAAAAAAATAAAGTTCTCAACAATAGGGATGGTAGAATCAGTTTGTTTAAAGCAGTCAAACAAATATCAATAACAAAAAAGAAATCATGTAGTTTACACTGTTTAAGGGTAAGTACCCCCACTGCAAGGAGGAGAGCAGGGTGAGAGATTACATGTCACTTTTAAAAAATATTTCTTTATTGTTAAATTACTCTGATCTATTGATATATTAATTAATTTTATAATTTTAAAAATTATACTCAGATTTAAATATTTAAAAAACCTAAGGTTCCACTGGTAGCCAAATATACATAAATGTGTTTAAGCTTGTAATAAAAAAACACAAGTTTAAAAAAGACACCAATTTTTTTTTAGACTAGTAAAATAGTAACAGAAAAAATATGATGCTTAATGCAGGTGACAGTGTTGTGAAAAAGGTACTCTCATCATTATGGTGAAATATAAACTGGTCCCTTTCCCTTGTTTTAACTAAAATTTATAACATATAGTTGTAAGAAATAACAGAGAGAACCCATGAAGTCTTTACCCATATAATTCTCTTTTAAAAAATAATTTGTCAGTGTCAGTTAAGAATCTTTAAAAATCCACACTTTCAACTAGCAATCCCATTTCTTGGAAACTATCCTAAAAACATCATTAAAAGGAAAGAGAAAGCTGTGTGCATAAAAATGTTCATTCAATACCATATATAAAATAAAAATATATTCATATATAATACATAAGTTAATAAGAAAATAGTACATTAAATAATAACATATACACTAGGTAGAATATTCTATAGCTATTAAATCACATTTGTGTAGAATATAAGGTAACTGACTGAATGTCAATGTTGAATGTTGATTTAAAAGATATAAAATTTTACAACAGTGAAAAATATTCATATGGTCAATGAGTGAGAAAGAGGAGGAATTATGGTTGACACTTTGTCTCTTTCAAAACTTTATACAACATACTTTCAAATTTAATTTTTTTCAGATTTTTTTTTCCAAATTTTCCAAACTCAAGTTTTCCTACTTTTGTCAGAATTTGAGAAGCAAAATGAGATGAAAGACGGCTACTTATTAATCCAATCAGGATAACTAACTGCCCCGCGTGAATGGGAGACTTTTGCTAGGAAAGAACCACTTACTTGCATCTTTCTCTGGAGAAGGAGGAGGGACCCTCTGCACCAGGCAGGTGCTACTGACTGGCTGCACCTGCTTCTCTGGGGGCTGGGCATTGCCCATGGGCGGCGCCTTCCCCTTGGGGCTGCTGAAGAGGTCTTGGGGGTCCTTTCTTGGCCCAGATTCTTGGAGGGAACTCTCAAAAGACTTGTCTTTGAGTCTGAAGGAGAAGAGTGAGGTCCTTTTCTTGGGAACCCTGGAAGCATCTGGGACTGTCTCCTGCAAACTCACTTTCTCCAGGAGTGTGGGGACATCTTCGATCTTGCCGCAGGGTGGGGACACAAGGGCAGGGAACACCTTGGATGAGCGGCTGGGCAAGCTGTGGCTGCAAAGCACAGGGGCGGCAGGGCTCGGGGCGGAGGGCTGGGCAGTCCTTGCAGTCGGGGAGCCCAGGGAGAAGAAGGCTGAGGCCTTGCTTGCCATGTCTCTCTTGGGGGATGGCTGATCGCTGTCTTTACTGGAGCTGCTTTTCCGAAAGCTGAATGAGCGAGTATGAGCATGAGGCGGGCTAGTGGGCAAAGTCTTTGACTCTGGCTTGGCCCAAGACTTCCTCCCACCGTCAGAGTTGGGGAGCAGCGGCTCCAGGGACCTCCGGATGGCATTGGCTATGAGCCGCAGTGGAGACTTGGGTGGGGCCACGCTTCGCTCCCCAGGCGCCCGTTCAGCTGGGGCCCCCATCTTCTCCTGAGACTGTCTCTGGGCTGGCAAGGTCTCTTGCTCTGCCTGAGGGAGCAGCAAGGGGCGGACTGGTTTCAGCACATGGCCTCCTGTACCATTTTTAGTGTTCTTTTGGGGAAGTCGTGCCCCGGTTTCCAGCTGCAAGTTCTCAAGGTTGGAGTCATTCCAATCCAACAACCAAGTCTTCTGCTCTGGAGTGAGAACCAACTTCTTTAAGCCTGACTTCTCCTCTGCCAGCTCTAACCCACCATCCTCTACCCTCCTGGGTCTGGTACTCCCTTCTCCAGGCTTCTCCCCAGCCCAGGGAGACAGCGGGTGGTCTGGCAAGCACCTGTCCTTCCCTTCAGTGGGGTGTGGACCTCTGTGGATGCTTCTGATGTCCCTAGGAGGGGTCACTGCTTCCTGACACCCATCAGAAGCCACCTCTGCAGGGCTGGATGGCCTGGAGCTCTTGAGGTTGTCTCCACCAGGCCTCACCAGGCAGTATTCTGTCCGCTCCAGTACCTGCCCAGGCAGACGCAGGGGGAGATCCTTGGGTGATCCATGGGCTTTGGCACGCCTCAGAAAGATGGGGGTGGATGGACTGAAATGACCTCTGGAGACCTGTGAGGGGGTGTTGAAAGCTGTCACCTGGAAGGGACAGGCAAAACCAACAGTGATTTAGAAGCTCCCACCATTTACTTACATGAGGAAGGTGCATCTCATCCCACAACCCCCTCCCTTCCTCTCTTCAGATCTCAGAAACCCAAAGTCAAAAAGAATTCCGCCTAGGGCGATTTCAGAGGGCCACTCTTCCTTCTAAGTGGCTGCCTTGGAATGCGCTAGAATTAGCTAAGAGCCTCCATATCACTGATAAAAGGCTTACCTGAGTCTTAGAGTAGGTGGGTAGAAAGCCAGATGGAAGGCAAAGCCTTTGACAAGCTCCCAGACCAGTGAGGGCAGGGCTAGCCTGGCCTTTATGGGTGGCCAGGCACATATGGAAGCTCAGCCATGGTGCCTACTAATGGGCACATCCTACCCATCGGTATGTTCCTCCAACAACCAAGAAACCAAGACTTTTTTCCTTGGAGACCATTAAAGAGAGACAACTAACCTCTGACTTGGAACTGTGGTGGCAGGAAAGACTTTGGGATCTTCCAATAACCCTTTCAGCTATGGGTTTTTTTTTTTGTATGGATGTGAGAGTTGGATCATAAAGAAAGCTGAGCACCAGAGAATTGATGCCTTTGAATTGTGGTGCTGGAGAAGACTCCTGAGAGTCCCTTGGACAGCAAGGAGATCAAATGAGTTAATCCTAAAGGAAATCAACACTGAATATTCATTGGAATGACGGAAGCTGAAGCTCCAATAATTTGGCCACCTGATGCAAAGGGCCGACTCTTTGGAAGAGACCCTGATGCTGGGAAAGATTGAGGGCAGGGGAAGTAGGGGGCAACAGAAGATGAGATGGTTGGATGGCATCACTGACTTACTGGACATGAGACTGAGCAAACTCCAGGAGAGAGTGAAAGATAGGGAAGCTTGGCATGCTGCAGTCCATGGGACCAAAGAGTCAGACATGACTTGGCACAATGACCCTTTAAAACCTGATTCATGCCTCACCATTGAGAAGGCAATCATTGTCAGCAGTCAGGAGCTTGGCCCTTGGCAGAGGGAGAACATAACAGACTTTAGAAGCAGCAGTTGTGTCCTGCCCAGAGCTCTGGTCATGGGACAGGAGCGTCTCTGGAGAATGAAATATTCTGTCTTGCATGTTCTACTTCCCAGAGTCTCGAACAGACTCTGGCAGGTAGCAGAGGCTTGATAGATTCATACTGAAGGAAGGAGTCCAATCCTGTCTATCTCAGTGATGCCATTTTCTATTCAAGTGGGATGCTGCTTCCAAGGTTCTCCACTGTGACCAAAGCTGTCTGCATTCTCTGCCTGCCACCCTATAGCTGCCAGCTCCTCAACACCCTCTGTGAGGTCATCAGGGCAGAGCATAAGCCCAAGCATCTCAGCACCCCACAGTCCAGCCCAGATTCCAGGCCTTGTAAAGTCTGCTGAGTGAGTGAGTGGCTAGCTATGCCCTTGGTGACTGAGAAGGAGCAGAGTGCACTTTTGTGAAAGGTACAAATGAAGAGGCCTGGGGTGGGCTCTTAACAGAGCATCTCTCCAGCCCTGGCTTTGCAATTGGGGTGACCTAAGGCATCTGGTCCCATCACTTCATGGGAAATAGATGGGGAAACAGTGGAAGCAGTGTCAGACTTTATTTTTTTGGGCAGCAAAATCACTGCAGATGGTGATTGCAGCCATGAAATTAAAAGACACTTACTCCTTGGAAGGAAAGTTACGATCAACATAGACAGCATATTAAAAAGCAGAGACATTACTTTGCCAACAAAGGTCCGTCTGGTCAAGGCTATGGTTTTTCCAGTGGTCATGTATGGATGTGAGAGTTAGACTGTGAAGAAAGCTGAGCGCTGAAAAATTGATGCTTTTGAACTGTGGTGTTGAAGACTCTTGAGAGTCCCTTGGACTGCAAGGAGATCCAAGCACACCATCCTAAAGGAGATCAGTCCTGGGTGTTCATAGGAAGGACTGATGCGGAAGCTGAAACTCCAATACTTTGGCCACCTCATGTGAAGAGCTGACTCACTGGAAAAGACCCTGATGCTGGGAGGGATTGGGGGCAGGAGAGAAGGGGACGACAGAGGATGAGATGGCTGGATGGCATCACCGACTCGATGGGCATGAGTTTGAGTAAACTCCAGGAGTTGATGATGGACAGGGAGGCCTGGGGTGCTACGATTCATGGGGTTGCAAAGAGTCAGACATGACTGAGCGACTGAACTGAACTGAACGATGCTAGGAATCCAGAGCTCAGTGTGGAAGCAGGGGGAGTACAGGCGTCATCCTCATGCCTGTGCAGGGCCCTAAAGGCACTTACCTGAGGCAGGGAGGGACTGTCCAGGGCGTTCAGGTCACCAGTTGAGGAAGAAGAGGGTGGAGAAGGAGAAGGTGGGGGAGGACAAGCTTCCTTTGGAGGCGACACAGTCATTTTGTGGTTCACTGGTATCAAATCTACCAAGGAAAGAATATGCTCTCCATTACAGAGTTGTGATTTTTCCTTATTTTATCAAGAAAAGGGGAGGTTTATCAGTGAAGCTCCACTCTATAAATTGAGTCAGGAGAGGAAGATGCTGGAGACCAATTCAGAGGCCCTGGAGCCTAGAGCCTGGGACTGGGAAGAACAGGCGCAGGAGTATCAGGTTCCTTAGGGGAAGGAGGTCCCAGGACGAAAAGTCCAAGAACCACTATGTCTCACACGCACAAGAGAATGCTCCTGAGAGAGGGAAGAGGGGTCTCCAGGGTTTTTCTGGGAAACGGATATCTACCTCTAATGTTTGCCCTAAAGCCATTGTGATGGGGGCCTGGGGCTGCATTAAATTCCTTAGTCAATAAAGAGGCCATCTGAGGCCTCTTCCCACAAGAGGCTGGACCATTCGCCATGGGCACGGACAGGATAACACAGGAGAGGCAGTCACAGCTAAGGAAACGGGCTCTTCCTCTCACGGGTGCACAAGGGGGCTCTCGGACGAGATGGCCAGCTTGACATTTTAAGAGAACTCAAGGGACAGAGGTCGTAATGAGTATCAAAGCATCTGAAGCATATGGAGTGGGGTTTGTGCCAAGCTCCCTGTTGGTCAGGGAACAAGCAAGAGTGTGTGTGCTCAGATGGACAGGAGAAAGGAGCGTGGCTGGGACTGAAGATGAGCCTAATTCTGAACTGTGGGAGCTGAAATCAATTAGTCTAGTTACAACAGAGTTCTAACAGATGTCGCCTATAAGATCAATCTCATTCCCTCTCTCTCCTGAGGGCACGCGCCACGTGTGCACATGTACCCTCTAGGACCCTCAAATCAGGGGCCTCCCTGCTGCTCAGTGGTAAAGAATCCGCCTGCCAATGTAGGAGTCGTGGGTTCAATCCTTGAGTCTGGGAGATCCCCTGAAGAAGGAGATGGCAACTATGCTTGCCTGGGAAACCGCATAGACAGAGTAACCTGGCAGGCCACAGTCCACGGAGCCACAAGAGTCAGATGAGACTTAGCGACCCAACAACAACAAACCTAAACTCTCGAGAGTTTGGTTTCCCTATCAGACCATTTCAGTAACAGGTCCTCAAAGGGATTCAGAAGATGCCATGCTCACTTGCAGATTTGCCCATCAAGTGTCTGACCCACCAGCCCAGCCAGCTGTCCCATAAGCCCTCCAGGCACATAAAGGCCATTCTCCAGGGAACCTCGCAGGACCACCTGTTTGTCTATCCATTCTTGTCAGACTCCTTACTTCTGGCTGCTCGGCCGACCCATTTCTATTTCCCTCCAAGGCATGAGATTTCATCTTGCTTCTTAACATGATCCCCTGGCCTCAGTTTCCCCAGACCTTTGGCTGAGAGGTCCCTCTTCTGGGACCCACCCAGGCCAAGCCAAACCCAAGCTCACTGCAAGAGGAATTCCTTCCAGACCACCAGGGAGCCATACAGTGCTCTGTCCTGCTTTACTCCCTCAAATGCAAGCATGTTGGAGCATGCATCCCAGGCCTGGGCTATGAAAAGCTGGCCACACACACGGTCAGTAAGCTTCCCAACGGAAGAGCTCCAGGGGAAAAGGTAACTCAGGGAAACAGATCTGAGAGTGGCAGGAAGGAGCTGTTGGGGACAAAGGCCACACTGGCTGCCAGGAGCTGACACGGGTGGGGGTGGGCAGCTGGCCGGCCTGCCTGTCACCCAAACGAACCCCCATCTCAGTCCACAATCAGATGGTTCGAGCCTAAAAAGGCAAAAGCTGTGAGTCAGTTGTTGCCGTGCTTCCTGTCCTGGGCTTGCCAAATTCCTGCTAAATTCCTTCTCCTCCTCTTCCTCGCCCCCTCATTCTCCTCTTTCTGCCATCTCCTGAATCAAACTCCTGAACTTGTCCCAAAGTCCCCTCAGCCCCACAGACTGCCTCTTTGTTCCTCTGAGGAGCAATCTGGGAACCTTCTGAAACAGAGCCAGGACACTTGGGAACCAAGCTGACAGGAGAGCTTGGGCTTCTCAAGGGCATGACCTGGGAGCTCCCCTCTCTCCTCTTTGTCTAACCCTACCCCCACCCAGTGAGTGGGGTCTCTCTCCACATATGGCCTCACGAATGAGGCCTCAGAACTGGGAGGCGGCCCTGAGGAGATGGGGGAAGCAACGCACCTGCCATTCAAGTCACAGCCTGGGAGGGGAAGGGGGCGCCAGAGCCCAGCTGAGAGGTGACAGGAGGTCTCAGCCACCAAGGCCTTTGGTTTCCTCAGAGGATGGTAACGGGGAGCCTGGAACACCACCCCCTTCACACCCACACCAGTTGGCTGATACTGAGCGAGTTACCCCTCAGGTTTCTCATTTGAAAAATGGGAAGCCTAGTGCTGTTTCATGGGGAAGTTGAAGAAATAAAATGGGATTAAAAAGAGGTGCTCAGCTCAGAGCATAAAGTAAATGCCACAGTGTACAGTGAAAGTCATTCAGTCGTGTCTGACTCTGTGCAACCCCATGGACTATACATACAGTCCTTGGAATTCTCCAGGCCAGAATACTGGAGTAGGTAACATTTGCCTTCTTCAGGAGATCGTCCCAACCCAGGGATCGAACCCAGGTCTTCTGCATTGCAGGCAGATTCATTACCAGCTGAGCCACAGGGAAGCCCAAGAATACTGGAGTCGGCAGCCTATCCCTTTTCCAGCAGAGCTTCTAGACCCAGAAATCAACCCGGGGTCTCCTGCATTGCAGGTGGATTCTTTACTAACTGAGCTATCAGGGAAGCCCTAAATGCCAGATGGTAGCTAAATATGAATCCCATTCCCTTCCTCCCACGCACACAAGTGGTGTCCAATAAAGGCACTGCTGAACCCCTAACCTGTTTCAGGGGAGACCACACACACCCACCCTGGCCAGGACTTCTGCAACTCAGGGCCCAGAGGCTTCATTTTCACTTACAACTCACATCTTTCTCTGCTGGCCCTTTCTTTGCTTGAAACCTTGGCATGGTCCAGCCAGGGCTGCCCTGCCCTCTGCGGCAGCCTCAATCCTGGGTGCTTCTGGCCCTTCCAGTTCCATCGTGCAAAGGGGGTTGATGAACAGACCAGAATCCAGACTGCAGCTCCTCCCATAACCTCCCTCGGTCAACTGCCTCTTCTTTGGGCCATCTGGCAATAGAGACCTTTCCCCCTGATCCGAGAGATCATTCTGGTGAGTGTGGTCAGCTGGGGGAGAGTGATAAGGGCAGACACGCAGCCCACTCCATCCACCTGTCTGGGGTTGGGGCCCGAACCAGCCTTAACAGGGCAGTGAAGGGATAGATGAGACAGTACCCCAAGTTTTGCTCCCTCCTACAAGACCAGCCTTGCCTACTGGGTGTCCTTTCAGGCACCATGAAGATGACTGGAAAGATGGCTCTGGAGATTTTCACAAAGACTGGGATCCCAGGGTGCAGCTTCCCCAAATCCAGAGCGTGGGCAATTCTTGAATCCTCCCAAAGTCTTGGAGTGCCCTCTAGGGGCAGAGTCTGCTCAGGCTGAAGTCCTGTTCTCTCTTCCTACACTCAGTTCAACTGGTGTGGCCCCTGATTCTTTAGTTAGTTCCTCTGTTAATTCATTTATTTATTCTGTAAGCAAGGACTGGGTGCCTCCTCTGCGCCAGGCGCATACTAAGCACCAAGCCCTTAGAAATGATTCAAACTCGAGGCCGGCCTTCAACCCAGCTTTTGTATCCACTTGTGAACCAACACCTGATACTCCTGGGCTAACTAAAGACATAGCTGAGAAACCAGCCGCTGGTTAGCTGTCTCCTCTCTTCTGTGCCTCCTCCAGGATCTCCCCCCTGCTGGAAGGGTCCCCTACCAGACTCCCAGCTCTCACCGCCCCCCAACCCCCAACCCCCGACCAGGACCTCCTTGAGGGCGAGCCAGACCCTTCATACCAGTGGTGCTCAGTAAAGTCGGCTGGAAGCACTGGAGGGAATCTGCGCCCAAATGGACCCACCCATAGAATTCCCGTGGCCAGGGAGGGCTTGAGGTGGGGGTAGTAAATGAGATAACATGTGAAAAAGGCCTGACCCGGGCCTTCACTGAAGGTTAATTCCCTCCTTTCCCTCACCTTCCCTGCCTGGAACTACAGAATAGCTTAAGAGTCATTTTAGGTTGTTTCCTGGTGACGTGGCCTGCCCAGGTGTGCGGTCCTAGTCCAAAAGTGCCCATTGTCCCAGCCTGGCCCAAGGGAAAGGGGCTGCAGGTCTTGGGGTTTCGGGGAGAATGACTCAGTGGCCAGGAGTCAGTGATGACTCAGAAGGAAGAAGTCAACTAAACTAGCATGCTAAAAAAAAAAAAAAAAAAAAAAAACAAACCTAGCATGCTATTCCAACTTCTTTTTTTATTTTTGTCTAACCCAAGGCCTTCCTGGGTCCACCTCTCTTATAGCAAAGTCTGGAGAAGGAGCGTGAGGGCAGCGATGGGACTGGAATCAGATGAAGAGTCCGCGCCCGCTCTCAAGATTGGAGAGGGAGTTTCTGCTCTCTAACTAGGGTGGCGCCAGGCGCGGGCTGGCTCTGGGACGTCGCCAACCGTGCGCGCAGTCATTGCGCCCCCTAGTGGGAGCCTGCTGCCTTAGCACCTGCTGCAGGCCCTGGTCCTGCTAGCCTGCTCAGAGAAAGAAGTAGGGGTGTGGGTGTGGGTGTGTGTGGGTGTGTGGGTGGGTGTGTCTGTGTCTGAGTCTGTGTGTGTTCTTTCACTGCTTTACCCACTACTGCTCGAGGTTAAGCTGACGGCCCCAGCCCAGTTCCAGTGTCCTGAACCAAAACGTATAGAGACCCTGGGCCAGTTTCCTCATCTTTGTTTCAAGAAGCTCGGAGCTCGGGTCCCTTTCAAGTGCAGTTGTGAAGTTCTAAGGCTCGCTGAAGGTAGAGAATCCCTTGGGAAGTGCTTTGTCTAGTGAGCAGCATAGACTCAAACATACATTTCTTTCCTTTCCCCTCACACCCGGGAGGCCAGTTCAGAGAGGACATGTGAGGAGTGAGAACAGCTGCCCCTGAGAATTAACCAGACAGCTCCTGCCCGCCCCCACCTTCCCCAGGGAGCTCATGACTCACTGCACTGGAATCTTCTCCCACTCTGGTATTCGCTGGGAGTTGGACATTGGAAACTATTGGCCCGCTGCAGAGCTGTGGTGGGAAAAAGAAAAAGGCAGGGGAGATGAGGAGGGAGGAAGAATCTGTTAAATGGATAGGGAAAATAGGGAGTTGTCTCCTATGGCCCATTTATCAAAAGCTGATAGACTAATGGTCATAGTTGACTGACCCCTTCCTTTACTCAGACGGTACCTCCCTGTCTCAGTAACACACACCTCCAACTTTTCGTTCATTCAGTCATCAAACATACTGAGACACTGCTGGGGGCCAGGTACTGCCCTCTTTCAGAAAAGACCTCAAATTAGGTGTCATCATTCTAACTCACCCATTGTTAATAAGCATGTGTGCTTACATGTTTATATGCATACATGTATACATATATGCCTATATGTACACATGCATATATAACACATCTGTTTTTAGCAGAGCAGCTCTTTGAAGCTGAAGTCTAACATCAATGCCACAACCGCGTCATCGAGGAAACATAGCTGCTCTCGCTGAAGCCTGGAAGCTGCAGAAAACGCCAACCTCTCTCCGTGTTACCCCCAGAGTCCCTAGGCCCTTTTGATTTTAACTGAACCCCTATACAATCCATGGCCATGACCCCTCCTCTTGGCCTGGTTCCAATGGAAACACACTTGCAGGATGCCTTGGGTTGGGCCATGAGAATCAGCAAAATGAACATCACAGGCAGAAGAAATGGATCTTGGCCATTTGGGCCCTGAGAGCGGGCAGAGGGATATAAATGTATCCCATTCACATACCGGGCCCTCAAATTTGGCCTCTGTGGTGGCCCTCTTTCCTGGAGGCATCTGGGGCACTTATGCAAACCCAGATATTGGCCCCCACTGTAGACCCAAGACATCTTAGTCTCTGAAGGAGGGAACCTAGGAACCTGCCTCTTAAACGGGATTTTTTAGGAACCACTGAACATGGTGTTTTAGGGGAGCATTACGGAGTGTTTTCTCTGACCTCTATTATACAGGGCTTAAGTTCTATTTTAACCATCATCATGGGCATGCTCTATGCTAAAAACTTTGAGAAGGTGATAGGTTCCTTGATAAGCTGAGGCAGTCCCAGAATCCTTTCAAAGGTGGTAAAACATATATAATATTAAAATCACCATGCTAACCATTTTTAAGTGTAGAGTTGAGTGGCATTAAGTACATTCGCAGCATTGTGCAAACAACACCTCCATCCATCTCCAGAACTTGTTCTTCATCCCAAATGAAACCCTGTCTCCGTTCAACAATAATCCCTAGCCACCCTCTTCCCGCAGCCCCTAGTAACCACTTTTCTATACTCCCTGCCTCTATGACTTGAACTATTCTGGATGCCTCATAGAAGTGAAATCATACTTGTGAAATCATAATACTTGTCTCATGGCTGAGTTTCCTTAGCATAATAACTTAAAGGTTCATCCATATTATAGCGTGTGTCGCAATTTCATTCCTTTTCAAAGATGAATAACATTCCATTGTGTGGATATAGCACGATTTGTTTATCCATTCATCTGTTGATGGACATTTGGGTCATTAACCTTTCTGCTATTGTAAAAAATGCTGCTTTGAGCATGGTGTACAAATGGTGTACATTTGGTGTAAAAATGGAGTCTTTTTAAAGTGATGTCCTGGTATTTTTCAGCATCCCTTCAGCTAAACTCTGAGTCATTTATCTAGGTGAAAAGTGTGATTAATGAAACCCTATAGCACCCACAACATGATGTCAACCCTACATTACCTGCTACAGTGACAGACTCACTGTAACCAGCAACATAAAACACAGCACTTAGACTATGCCAGAGATTGTAACCTTACTATGTGGTCTGCTTGGCAATGATGGAAACCATGATGGATGAACACAAAACTGACAGAAGATTGCTTGAAAGTCATGAGGTCTATCCACTTCTGTCAACTATGTTTCTTATTCTGGAATTAAACTGGACTCTCAAACAAAATGCTTTGGCCACGCTGCCTTGATCTCTCCATCCAACCCCATCCTGGGAGAAACGCTCTAGCTGTCATACTTTGCTGTCATGCTTTCACCTGCCAGCAAGGGGCGCTGCATAAAACAATCCTGGGAAAACTAGGGCTGCATTTTCTGCAGAGCCACTGTGCAAGACACAGTGGAATATCCCTCTCAGGAAATTTCCATAGGGTGAAGCATTAGGAAAAGTGGAACTGAGATCTGCTGCAAACCAGTGTTTTTTTCCCTTCTGAATAACGAGAAATTATTGTCTGTTTTCATTTGAACTGTGGCTTCAGGAAAACTCTGTATCAAATGATTCCACTGGAGCAACAGTTTAGGATCATGGTCTGCCTCTCTGAGGTCTGTATCTCCTAAACTGGTTTTCACTTTCATATATATATAGCTATCTTGAGACTTTATCTAGAGGTGCTCTTTCATATATAGAGACACACAATTTTGTTTTATGCCTCTCTTGTAAGTTGCCTAAAATCCGCTGGCAATCGAGGAGAGAGAAGAAATGGAGGGAAGGAATGAAAGGCGGGCAGGCTTCGTATACGTAACTGAGGAGGCTGGAGCCCAGGGAGAGGGGGAGGCCTGCGGTATCCAAGCCTCTGTCCTCTGCATGTGCTAGTCCTCTCTGGATCGCACCACAAATGGTCCTGAGCAAATGTGTTTGGATGACAATTTGTCCTTTTAAAAACCAGCTCACATGGGAGGGTAAACCCAGAATTTCCGGGATTCCAGCCCCAGCTCTGGTCTTCCTGTGAAACCATTGCTCCTGAGAACATTTCTAGGTTCACGTGGAAGTTCTGCTCTTGGCCGCCAGAGGGCAGCACAGGACAAGTGGCGCTCCGGCTCTTCCCAGGGACGCTCAGGCCGCTGGTCCTGATGTGGCAAGTTGCTGTTAGCCTGTTTCTTCACACCCACAGGTTAGCAGTGGCTCTTGACTAACTCAAAACACTCAATCTGAGGCCACCTTTATTAAAACAAGCTGGAATGCTAAAGACAACTACTTCTTAGAGTGTGGAGCACCCAGCACTCGCTAAGTTGTGAGTCCTTGGGAAAACAGTCCATTTGCACACCTGTAAAATGGGCTTCATGCTACTTACCTCACAGGGTCATCCTGAGGATGAAATGGTGCCATGTATAGGCAAAGCCTTGACCAATACAGCACTCAGCGACAGGGCGTTTGTTACCGCACATTCCACAGGCCCCAGGCACTGACATGGCCCTGTGGTGTCCCCAGGGAAACTATGCTGCCCAGGGCTACCTGTGGTCCAGCAGCAGCTGGGCCCACCTCCCTTCCTTGTGCGCTGTGAGATGCCAGAGGGCCCTCAGGAGACATTCACAGAGGAGACGGCTCCAGGCAAGAGGGTCCTGGGCCGCCCCCCCACCGCTTATCTCTGCCTGTGACACACGACAGCCAGTCAGGCCCCTCTGCCACCTTCCCACTTGAGATCCCAAAGCTTCCTGTGGAGAGGGAGGCTGGCCCTACATCCAGTCCCCGGACCCCCACGTGACCCAGCTCCACCGCCTGAGCCTGAGGGCCTGACGTACTGTCCCACGGTCCTCCATGAGGAAACACTGGTCGTGAGAGTCTCTGTCCCCCTTCCCCACCCCTGCCCCCACGTCCCAGGGTCAGGCAAGCCCGTCTCTCTCCCAGGCAGGCTCTCTACTCACCAGGCACAGCTTCGGGCTCCCCGAGGTCGTGTGGAGAGACTGCCCTGGTCAGGGTCTCTCTCAGAGAGCTATGCCGGGAGAGGGGCTTCAGGAGGGCTGGGAGGTGGAGTTCCGGCCGCTGGGGTCTTTCGTCAAAGGGCTCTGCACTGGAGGCCTCACTGTCACCACGGTCCGGCTCTGCATCGGAGCTGGAAGGTGGAGGGACAGAATAGCTGAGCTTGGAGGCCTGCAATCTCCCACCCCCCACACTGTGCCCTGCCCATCACTGCCTCACCAGACAAAGGGGTTCCAGGGAAAGGGCTGTAGTTTAGTTACCTCTGTGCCTGGCACCCAGCCTCTGGCTTTGTTCTGGGCTGAACTGTGTCCCCCGAGATTTATAAGAAGTCCTAACTCCAAGTACCTGGGAATGGGGCTGCTTCTAGAGATAGGGTCTTTACAGAGGTCATTAAGTAGTTAAAATGAAGGTCATTAGGGTGGGCCCTAATCTAATCTGGCAGGTGAGAGTGAAAGTCGCTCAGTTGTGTCCGACTCTTTGTGACCCCATGGATGGTAGCCCACTAGATTCCCTGGTCCCTGGGATTCTCCAGGCAAGAATACTGGAGTGGGTTGCCATTCCTTTCTCCAGGGCATCTCTCCCACTCAGGGATCGAACACGGGTCTCTTGCATTGCAGACAGATTCTTTACCACCTGAAACACCAGGGAAGCCTAATCTGGCAGGAGTCCTTATGATTTTCCTTACAAGAAAATTTAGACACAGGCATACATAGAAGGAAGGAGCTTCCCAGGTGGTAAAGAACCCACCTGCTAATGCAGGAGATGTAAAATATGCGGGTTTTGATCCTTGGGTCGGGAAGATCCCCCAGAGGACGACATGGCAACCCGCTCTAGTATTCCTGCCTGGAGAATCGCTATGGACAGAGGAGCCTGGCGGGCTATGGTTCATAGGGTCACAAAGAGTTGGACACGACTGAAGTGACTCAGCATGCACTCATACATAGAAGGAAAATGCCACATAAGTGAGAAGACCACCATCTCCAAGCTGAGGAGAGGGGCCTGGAATAGTCTCCCCTCATGATCCTCAGAAGGAACCAAGCTGCAAGTGAGTAGAGAGAAAACTAGCGCCCAGAGCTGTCTGTTTGCCCAGCTCTTCCTGCCCCCGTCCTACAGCAGTGGGAGCGTACCTGCTGTCTTCGCTGGTGACCAGGACGCGCACGGCCAGCACGTCCTGTCCAACCACATCCTCCCCGGGGCTGATCCTCACTGCGGTCCACTCAGAGGGCAGCGGGGAGGCAGCTCCACCTGCCATATCCCCAGGCTCGAGCTCCGGAACGCTCTTGGGCTTCTTGGGGGAGGTTGGCTCATCTGTTGAGAGGAGAAGAGGGTCTAGAGAGATGGTGGGAATGGATAGCCCTGCAGGGAGCCTGCCCCTCCTCCAGAGGCTTGGGTGGGTGCTCCAAGATGGATCTCCTCCTCCATGCCATCACTGGGTCCCCACCACTCAGCCCACCAGACAGCCCAGCATTTAGAGCACACATCTTGTGTGCTGGGCATGAACGCACACACCATCCCATTTAACCCATAAAGGAGGGTTGAACATGCAGAGGGCCCACCCCAGGCCCACCAGACTGCACTGCTCTTGTCAAAATCATGCTGTGCTGCTAAACCCAGTGGTAACTTCTCATTTCTCCTCTTACTGGACACACCAGCAGCCCCTGACCCAGCTGATCATTCCCTCCTTCAAGAAGCAGTTTTTCTTTCAGGACAGCATAGCTGGCTCCCGCCTCCCCCATTGGCTATCCCCTCCTCTGATTCTTTCCCTATTCCCCTTTCCCCAGGACCTGACCTGTTAGCCCTGGAAGGTCCCAGGACTCAATCTTTGAACTGCTTCTCTTCTCATCTACACTCATGTCCTTGATGACCTTATTCAGTCTCATGACTTTAAATAACTCCAGACAGCATGGACATGCACATCTCTCCATCCAGCTTGGACATTCCCCTGAATGTAGATGCATGCACACAAAGCCTTTCTTGGCATCTCCAGGGAGATTGTCCAATGGATCCCTTAACCTCACACGCATGGAAATCTCCATTTCCACCTCTCCCCAAGCCTGCCTCCCCATAGCCCTCCCATCTCCGTAAATGGCAACTGGGGCCTGCCGGGTACTCCAGTCAACACTTCAGTGGCATTCTTGACTCCTTTCGTTCTTTCACTCTTCACTCGAGCTATCAGCAAATTCTGTTGGCTCTACCTTGAAAATATGCCAGGAATCCAGGCACCTGTCACCACCTCCTCGGCTACCACCCTGGCCCCAGCGACCATCATCTCTTGTCTGGATTATAGATCCAGCTTCTCCTGGTTTCCCCTTTCCCTCTGGCCATGCCCCATACTTCAGTCTGTTCTCAACAGCTGCCGAGTGACTGTTAAAACTGATGTATGATTCGGGCAACCCAAAGCTGGTGGTCTGTGACAACCTAGAGGGGTGGGATGGGGGGGAGGTAAGAGGGTGCTTCAAGAGGGAGGGGATATAGGTATACCCATGGCTGATTCATGTTGATACATGGCAAAAAGCCATCACAAGATTGTAAAGCAATTATCCTCTAATTAAAAAGTATTAAAAAAAAAAAAGGAAGTCAGACAATAACACTACCTCCTCTCACAATCCTCCAGGGTCCCTGTGACCTCATCTCCCAGTGCTTCCCCGCCCCCAGCTCTCTGTTCCAACCACATGAACACCATGCTGACTCTCCCACACTCAGCCCGCCCTTGCCTTGGCCCCCAGCTCAGAGGTTCTCACCTCTTCCTTGGAGACACTGTTTCCAAAAAGCAGGGCTCGCTCACCCTCTACCTTCAAGCCTTCGACCAACTGTCGCCTTCTCAAGCAGGTGACCCCATTCATCCTCCTCAAATGGGAACCCACACCCCCAGCTCTCTCCTTCCCTCTTTACTTTTATTCATAGCATATCACACCTTCCAATGAACTACACACATTCCCCATTTACTTTGTTTGTTATCTCTCTCCCATGCCGAGGATAAAGGCAGTGATTTTTGCCTATTTCTTTTTTGCTAGTATTGTGCCTGGTGAAGAGTGGATTCTTAATAAATATCAGTTAAATGAATCAATGAATCAGTTGGTGAATAAATGAGTAAGACAGGCAGCCTGGGCCCCAGCTCCCTCTTGACCACTAACTAGCTCAGTGACCTCCTCTCTGGTCACAGTGGGAAAGGAGTCCTTTCTCCTCGCTAAGGATGACACTGCACTTGATCTTAGCTCCCCCTATGAGCCCCCCGCCCAAGGTCATTATCTCCTCTTCCCTATGTCATTAACTGTCTACTGGATCTTTTCCATAAGTGTTTGCATACCCTACCTTTTTAAGAAAACTTTTTATTTCCCGTCCTCCCATCCCCGCTCCAAGCCAACTCTTCTTCCTTCCGAGCTAGTCTTCTTGGAAGAGTTTGTTGCACTCACTTTCTCAATTTCTTCACCTCGCATCACTCATCCCTCAAACCCCTAGAATCTTGCCTATACCTCCACTCTCCAAATGACCCCCAACAAAGTGCCTACTGCCCTCCTTGTTTCTAAATCCAATCCACTAGGTTTTGGGGCCCTCCTGCAGCTCTTGCACTCTGCCCCTCGCTGCTCCCAGGCTCACCTTCTCTCCCTGCCTAGCAGACTGTTCCATCTCAACCATTCTGGCTTCTAGCCAACCCTTAAATGATTGGTTCTTCATGCTTCCACCTAGGCCCTCTCATTTTTTCACCCACACACTCTTTCTGGGAAATGTTATCTACTCCCTAATTCTATTTACCATCTGCGAAGATAATTCATTTTGATTTTATGTGCAAAGCCACACATTTAAAAATATTATACAGGTCCCATAAAACATGTTTACAAGCAGATGCAGCCAGGTGGTCACTGGTTTGTAAGCCCTGGTACAGTGCATGCTTGTTTGTGAGGACCCTTCTGCACTGGTGAGGCTGTGGATGGAGGAGATGCATTTGGGGAGTAAGTGTTATAATTGAATACTTGACTATGTAGCAATAATAATAGCAGCAGCTTTTACTGAGTACTTTTATCGAGAATTTTAGCATGTAATAAGTCTATTAAGTGTCACACAAGATTCTAGGAAAAGAAGTATTATCCCCATTTTGCTGCTGAGAAAACAGGTATACAGAGAGGTTAAGACACCAGCATTCAGCAGTATATTTCATCAGAGGATGAGGCCTCATCTGTATGTCTGTGAGCGGAACAGAACCACAAATGGGCCCCAATATGCATGGCGGTTATTCTATGAGTTTGGACTGGGATGCGTCCCCAGTTCTTCAGTCCCTCCTCATAACAGAGTTGTAGTTTGTCCTATGACCTTGCAGTCTTTCCCACTAGAGAGGTGGGGTGAACTTCTCTGTCCAGTTGCCCCAAGACTTGGCCCTGAGACTTGCTTTGACCAGCGGAAATTAGTGGGCATGATGTGAGCCGCACCTCTCAATGTCCTCGCTCTTTGGCTAGTCCACATGCACTCCTGTTTGTTGGCCACGCAAAGAGCTTGTCCCTGGTGACTACTGCCCCTTCAGCCTGGGGTCCCTGACTGGCACATGGAACAGATCTAGAGCCAACCTACAGCCTGGCTGATCCCATGGGAGCCCAGGCTGCCGTTATAGCTGCAGCCTGAAGCAGAGCCACGCAGCCAACCCAGAGACCCACAAGCAAGAAAAATGATGTTACAAGACACTAAGGTTTGGGAGGCTTGTTACACAGTTACTGCAGCAGAGACCTGGCTCTATACCTGGTCCATATGTGAGTATAGATGTGAATGCCTGTGAGCTGTGTGCGCAGCTACTTGCATGGTCAGCAGAAGCTTTTGTGCTCTTCTCTGATCTAGGATCTCTTGATCTAGGATTTGAAAGTGAGTCAGCCATGGTCTGCCTCAAAGCACCTCTTTCTGCCCCACAGGAGAAAGAAGGTCTGCTCACAAATACTTGCGTTATAAGGTAGACCCAAAAGAGTGAGGCCAAGATGAGGTGTGAGTGGAGGGAGGTCAAACTTCCATGCAATAAAGACTTTGGTTACAAGGCTCCGATTCAAAGGGGCTTGAGGATGAGGAGGATTTGAACAGGAAAAGGAGAGGTGGTGCTCCAGGGGGTGGACCCTGGGAGCAAAAGCAAAGTGGGAAAGCACTGCCACCTGCATAGGAATGGAAGCTAAGTCCATGTGACTGGAGGGCAAGAGGGTAAAGAAGAGAAACCAGTGGGAAATGATTACATTGACAAACCAGGAAGGGCCTTGAATGGCGAGGTGAAGGGTGGGTTTTGCTCTGGGAGCAACCACTGAAGGACTGGAAGCTGGCAGTTGGCATCATCAGATTTTCCTCTAAGAAAGATAGCTCTGGTCGCAGAGTGGAAGGAGGACAGGAGGACCCACAAGGGGGAGAGAGGGAGACCAGTGAGGAGGCAGCTGGAGGAGACCTATCGGCTGAACACACACGGCGGGGAAGAGGGGAGAGGGAGTGGAGAGCAGTTTGGCCGGATGGGCGGCTGCAGGCAGTGGAGGTGAGCTGTGCCAGGCAGCAGACACACGCCCCCTATATCTCAGAGGCCAGCCCAAACCGGCAAGAACACCCAGGGTCTGCTTTCTTCCTTCTCCTTCTCTCTCCTGGAGAGTTTTGTCTTTGCCAGCAGGGCTGAGGGATAGGTCAGGGTAAGGCTGGCTCCCTGGCTTCTGGAGGGGTGGGGATGTGGCTGAATGAAGATCCCCCAGGGCAGCAGGGTCAGGGCCAGTGTCTCTCACAGGGGAGCCTGGGTATCAGTGGAGGGGCAGGGGCCGGGCGGTGGGGGGTAGGCACCTGGTCATGGAGACTTGTGGAAAAGAAGCTGGTGCTTCTTCTGGTCACTGCCTCGCTCAGGCAGAAGACCCCCAAGAAGGACATGCTCCTCCCTTCTCCTGCCCCACAAGGCCCAGGCGACTGCTGGGTCTCAGGTTCAGCGCTGCCCTAAGAGGAAATCTCTCCACTCACACTTCTATTCCAGATACTTCTTCTCATTCCCCTGAGGATCCCTAGCCACACGCACAGACCAGTAGCAGTAGTTCTGGTGGTACTAGTACTTGTAACGGAAGAAATCTAAAAGCAATAACAAAAGCAGTCCCAACTCATCACCTGGGGCCACATTCCTGTTTAGCAGTTTACATTCATCTTCTCTGATATCCCCCCATCCTGAAAAGATGCTATGATCATCTTCATTGAATGAGTGGGAGAACGCGGAGACCAGAGTAGCTCCACCGGGGCCACCCCAAGGGTGTGTGGGATCAGTCAGCCCTGGACACAGAGCAGTGTGTCTGTGACCAGCCCAAGGTGAAGGGCCCAGGTGT